TGATAGTTTGGATTCCTTTCAATAGTAATGCATTTTTTCTTGATTCAGCATACTGGCTAACATTTAATAACAATATTTAATGATTATTTTTAATTACACTGCACTGTAATACACAGTGATTTTTTTACACAGTGATTTTTAATGTTAGTTTTTCCATTAAATAGAAAGTTGTTTATTTGAGAGACATTGTTAGCTATTTATTTTGTATTTTTATTTAAAGCAGTGATTCTCAACTAATGACTAACCCACCCTATTAATAAACATTGATTTAAAGGAAGTATCCTTGTAGTCTTAAGTTATTGCTTATTCCAAGAATGCAAGCTGAATTTTATTAAATGCATTTCTGTTTTGTGCCAAACTGAACATGTTCTTAGTCTTTATACTTATTGTTTAGGTAAATTATATCAGTGAATTGTTTCTTTACTTGAATAAATCACACTTTTTTTTTTCTAATAAATTTCTGGATTTTATTTTTTGCTGTTTTATTTAGGATATGACTTAGATGTTTCCTCAGTTTTCTTTTTTGAGTTACTTTAAGCAGCTGTTTTAAAAATTATTTTAGACTTGCTTACTAAAACTAATTGAAAAGCTTCCAATATATTCCTATGCTGTGGAATAGATTGTACAACAGAATAAGTGTCTGATATTTGAATGGTTGAAAGAATATGCCATAAATTTATTTGAGTCAAATATATTCTCAGGAATAAAGTTTTGATAACTTAATGTCTTTTGCTATGATATACTATATATTATACATATATATATATACACATATATACACACATAATCTACTATGAAAATATCTTATATAAACAGGACCCTGATTAATACATTAACTTTCAAATTTTATGTAGTTCTATTTATAAAAACAATTAAGTTGTCTTATTTTTATAACCATATTTACAGTATTATATTTAACTTATTCCAATGCTTACCTTATATATATATACACTATATATACCTTTACACTACTCCTGAATGTTATTTGTATTCGTAAATTTTAGATTCAGTATAATCTCTTTATTAGAACACCTTTTCACAGTTTTTTCAGGTCTTGCAAAGCAAAAGGTATCTTTTGTTTGCTTTCACATGTGAATGGCATTTGGCAGGGTCTTTGTTTATAATCCAAGCCTTTGCTTATAATCTTTTTCCCTAAACACGTATAGATTTTGAACCTCTATCTTCGTACATTTAATACTGCAGGGAATTTTAATGTTATCAAGCTTTATGTCCCTTTTTGTTTTCTTTTACTTTTTTCACTGTTTTTTCTTGCACTGTGAGGATATGTAGCAAATCATCATTCTTGAAGTTGTTCAAATGAATGGAAGTACTCCTGGGTTGGTTATGTGTATTTTAGTTCAAGTCTGAATTATTCTTTGTGTTGTCATTTTTCTGGGCTCTTATTTAAAAGAGCAGTTATCAATGTGTGCTTTGTAGTCTCTGTCTTCTATTTCTAATACCTTCTCTTTTAATATTTTTCTCTCTTGACCTTGTCCTCTGCATTCAGGTAGACTCCAGCAGTTTCTTTGCATGCTTCCTGCTCCCTCTGAGGCAATGGTGATTTCATTCTTCACTGCCTCCAATTCATTATTAAATTCCATTATCACAGTTTAAATTTCACAAGAGTCTTCATTTGCCTCATCTCACTCCTATTTTATTTCTATTTATCTCCTAACCAGTGACATTTCAACTCAGACATTGTGGTCCCCCTTTATATTTCACCTGTTTTCTCATAGAATTTATATTTCTAAAGATTTATTCACAGCAAAAAATATGTATCATCTAAAATTTACTTCTTAAATAAACTAAATCATCCTTGCCTTTAGCTTATTTTGTTCTTCCGTTATACTACAGAGAATTTTTTAAATCCCTAGTCTTTTTTTCCATTTATTCATCCTTGAATTATGATTCTTAATTGAAAATCTAATTTCATATTGTAACAGGACCTCAAGCAGAAGCAAATGAAACCAAAGATGTATCCTTAACTTACTCTCGTTCCTTACCTGTCATTGCCTGAGGCGATGTCAGCCCCAAGACGTGTCCAGGATTTCTTCGGATAAGCACTATGAAGTTGAACTTTCCCAAACACCCCTGAAAATAAAAGGAGCAACAGTTGGATAGGGTTGGAATAGGACAGAATAATTCAGAGAAATTAAGGCCACACAAGTAAAACTCATGAGAAAGGTTATTGTGCAAGATACGTGATATGAAGGGGTCCACCTTATCAGAAAAAGGATATTTAAGTGCTTTATTTTCAGCAGGTCAACTACATCTCACATGACTATGAAACCTATTTTTA